AAATCCGGGGTTTTTTATTCAGTGTCTTTCTGGCACCTTGCACTGGGCGGCTGTGGGGGAGCTGCAGAGGCTTGGGGGGACCCAGCCCTGTCCAGGAATGGGCATCCCTGCCATGGCCAACCTAGCCCGGGCAGCCTTGCCCCGCGATCAGGCTTTCCCATTTGCAGCTGGGTGTGGCCACCGATGCATGGGGGCTACGGTTAGCCGGTGGCAGGTGGTAGCCTCAGTCTTTCCCACCTGTAAAATGGAGCTGCAAGGCACAATGGGAGAACAGAATGACTCCATGCTGCACCAGCGAGCTGAGCCTGGCCCAGGGGGTCTTGAGCCTGGCCAGGGAAGCCCAAGGAGGTTGGAGCTGCTGCAGGGGTGGAGGCAGCTGGGGGCAGCCTCAAACCTGTGGGCTCCAGGTGGCTGCCTCTGCCAAGCCACCTGTACAGGCGGAAGCTGCGTGGTGTGCACTGGCCTGAACCACTTTGCAGTGCAGACGTACCTGCACCCACCCCTTGCAGCACCTCTCCCTGGGGGCCGCAGGGCCTAGGAAGGGGGCAGGGAGGTGCAGTTTGTGGCCCCTATGGGGGAATTTTACAGTCCTACCTATACATTAAGGAATCACACCGGGTGCTTGTTACTTGCATGGGTCAATCAGCAATTATATTGGATTCGGATCAATGTGCTGGCTGCCCCCAGCCCACAGCTGGAGTCCCCACTGGTTTTTTAAAAGAGGAGCTCTGCGTTTGATAGGATTAAAAAGATCCCTCTCTCGAGACACTAATATTCGGTATCCTACAAGCTCCCGAAATCGCAACATAACTGTGGCCGTTGGGTGAAGAACCCATAGAGCAAATTCATCCGTTGAGGACCCTAAAGTTAGGGCTGGTTCTGGGGCAAGAGAGAGCCGAATTTTGTCCTCTTGCTTTTAGTGAAGCAGTAGCGGCCTGGGGGGGGGGAGGGGGCAAACTGGGCAACTGCCTAGGGCCCCATGCTTTAGAGGGCCCCAAAATTTTGCAACAACACTGAACATTTGTATTATCATTATCAATATTGTGCTAAGATACTTTCATTGCAGTTTCATGGATAGGGCAAAGTGAAATTGGAATAAAAAACGTTTGGCTTGCTTATAGGTCATTGAAATTAAGCCTCCAAGGGGCCACACACAGACTCTCTTGCCCAGGGCCCCAAGAACCCTAAGGCCACCACCAAGTGAAGTATAAAGATCAGGAGCGATCAGCTACGTAGCTAACAGGGATGTGTGACCACAGCAAAGAGAAAAGTGAGGTTAGTCACCCGGCTAAAGACAAGATTTTAGTCATGCAGGAGAAGCAAATCATTTATTTACACATTTGTTTGTACATTACAGCTACTTGTAAGGATCCACGTTAGCAATAACTTCCCCACTCCCCATAAAATATGTCACAAGAAAATACAGGGGAAGGGATCTGGTGACACACTGCAACAATATTTATACCACTTAATTGTGTCATAATTAACAGGAGGATACTAAAAAAACCAATCAGACGCAGCGCTAGGCGGCTGCCCGTTTGAGGCGTTTCAGTAGTGAGCGGATGGGTTTCATTAGTTTTTTTTCACCAAGCAATCTTTCAAATTGGAAAATAAATAACATCGCCGCCCCCGTTTTACTCTCATTCGTCAGCAACGCAGGTGACAGGCTCATTCAAAGATTTCTGCTCCTTGGGAACTGGAAGAGTCGTGCTTTGTAAACCTTAGGGGTTTGCAGCAAGCTACGATTTGTGTGCAGCCCGTTTGTAAGAGCTGCTGATGTCTGTCAGGTACAGACAAGCCACTGAAACACAGGACGTAGCGGATGGTCTGGGGCCTCGGCCTTCAGGCAGACACGCATCCTCCCTGGGTCTCCACACCTGACAGGTGCAGCTCAAGGATACTCATTCGCCTCCATGAAGTCTCAGAAAACCGTGACCTATGACTGTCATGCTCTGGTGTACTCAGTACTGATCCCCCCCACCACTGAGAGTCTGCCCCTTGGCTTCTACAGGTTTTTGGATTAGGCCCTTAACCCTGCACCAGTAAAGTTAATGGGAAGGGCTGACGCGAGTGAGAGCACGTGGCTGCTAGGGGGTGGGCTGGGCGCAGAGGACGTCATTGTTTTCAACTGAAGGAGGCAGCAACAAATGGGCTGTGGGTGGGGAGTTCAGAAATATATAGGCAAATCAATGCGACCCTGCTGGGTGGATGTAAGTTATAGCAGCATAGCTTAATTCCATAAACCTCCTGAAATAAGCCCCTGATATGCTCTATCCCCACCAGGAAATGGCACTGATGTCACTACATAAATGGGCAGTTACATTGGTACAAAAATCATGCCTAGGTCTTTCCTAAGGGAAGCAAACGGCTTATTCCAGTCCCATGTCACAGCATCGCATTTGCTTCCCAGTTATCTCCATTCCTTTGCAGAAAGGCACATCCTAAAATCCTCTCTTAGGAAAAACTCCCACTGAAGCGAACAAGAGTAAAGCCAAGAACACACGATGAGCCTTTTAAGCATTTTAACTTTTGGGAAGCGCGGGTAAGCACTATGACTTTTGATTTCAACGGATATGAGATTTCAACCGCAACCAACCCCAAATGGGCACCTTGGTTTAAGAAGATTTTGTCTGATGCTCATTTGAAGCAAAAAAACAACCGCTTGCCTGTCAAGTAAGAACTGTAACGTCAACTCTAGACTTAACTAAATTTAGTTAGCAGTTTAAATATTTTGAACTCACTAAAACTGACAACAAGATACAACTGGTTTTTAATGACACGACAGCAGTAGATTTGTGTGTTTGTGTGACAATGCTTTACAAAAGAGACCATCTGACACAATGCTCCTAAAGTAAGACAGAGAACTGCTAATTATTTTAACTTTAATTTGCTAAGTATTTTAGGACATGACCTAGTGTTTCTAAAAAAACCTGTACAAAATGAGTCGTTTCTTTTTTTCTTTTTTTTTTTTTTTT